GGGAGAATAGTGGCTCCAGCAAGTTCTCTGACTGTGCCACACATATGAATAAGTGTAGTTTTATAAGGTCCTCTACACAGTGCTTTGATACCACTGTTGGATACATGAATCTTTGTGTAGAAAAGGAGGAGGAAAGGAAGGAAAGGAGGAAAAAAGAAAGGAAATAAATGAAAAAATAATGAAATGGAATAATGAAAAAAAAGAAAAAGAAAATGACATCCATATTATTTAAAAATTTTTCTTTGGCTCCTTGTGTATTTTAAGTTGAGGCCAAGCTATTAACCTTGATTTCTTGAACCCAACCAAACCTGCCTCCTACCCTCTGCCGTCTCTAAGCTTTGACCAGGCTCCCCCTGTTCTTTAAGCAGATTGTGCCTGTCTTGAACTGAGTGCCTTGTTCTAGAGTGTTCTTTGCCTACAAGGCACTCGTCCCCTCCCTTTCACAGTCCCTTTGAACCTTTTGGATGGACCTTAGACATTAGGTTGTGACCGCACTTCCTCAGTCAACCCCACAGTTGATTCCCGACGTCAGTGTTCAGGAATGTGTTTGTGTGAATATTAATTACTCAGTAGCTACCTCCCCAATGCAGAGTAAACTTCAGAGGGCAGAACTTTAACATGGTTCACTACTGCAGCCCAGGCACCTAGCCTAGTAATGAAGTACTTGACTTATTATTGTTATTATCATGAGGCAGCCCTCTATAAACAGACCCAAGCCCACCACAGCTATGATCTCAGGACCTCCGGGGAAGTTAGGCTTCCCATGCAATGATGTCCACAGCTTAATTACTTTCTTGAGTGTCAAAGGTTGAGTTTCCTCTTTTCACTTTTACCCAGATTTTCCAAGTTGAGCATGCACATTTAATAAAAACTTCCTTAAGAACCTCACATTTTAGCAACATTGGTTATGGGAAATGCATGGTTCAACAAGTTTTCAAAGATTCTACTAAGGAAAGAAAGGTTGGCAATCAGACCAACATTCTAAGTGCAAAGGGACACCTAAGAGAACATAGGGGTTTCAGGAAAGGATTCGCTGGTTGACCAGATGTAGATAATACAACAAAGTGAAAAGAAATTTTTACATCGTGTTCCATGGGTTAATGCTCATAGTCCTTGGTCTAAAATGGGAATGCAATATTTGTTGAATGTAGTCTTCTAAAAGTCAAAGAGGCCACCCTATACTTTTGCACTTCAGAATGGATTACAGTTCACACTTTTTCAGTTTGTTTTGTGACTTAGAACTATGGACTTCCTTATACTGACACCCGAGGACTCTCAAGTGTGTGGATAGTCCACATTTAGCTTCATATACTTCATATTGGTCCTACTAACATGACCTCGTCACATTCCTCACTACTTTTTGTCTCATATTTGCCACCAAATTGGTCTTTTTCCCCCCTCTTTTCCTTTGGGATTTTGCATATTCAGAAAATTGTGCTCACATAATTTTCAGTGTTCCAAAAGCTTCCTGCTATTAGGCATGGTGGTACACACTTTAATCTCAGCACTTGGAGGCAGAGGTAGATGGATCTCTACGAGTTCAAAACCAGCCTAGTCTACATGGAGAATTCCAGGCCATCCAAGGCTACATACTGAGATCTTGCTTCAAAAATAAAAATAAATAAGTTTTAGAAGTTTCTGGTTATCTGTTCTCCTTACTCCATTCATAGCCCTGCACACACTAAGGACAGAACAACACACAAAAGGTTTACTTTGTCTAAGATGGATTGCAAATGCAACTGGGACAAGCAGTTGAAAAACAGCAGCAACAACAACAAATATATGTGTATACACACACACACAATACACATACAAATTCACACACACATACATACACATATACACACACATACAAACACACATCCACACACACATACAAACACACATACATCCACACATCATCCACACACACATATACATACACACATACACACACACACACACAAACACAGAGAGAGAGAGAGAGAGGGAGAGAGAGAGAGAGAGAGAGAGAGAGAGAGAGAAAGAGAGAGAGAGAGAGAGAGAGAAAGAGAGAGAGAGAGAGAGAGAGAGAGAGAGAGAGAGAGAGAGAGAGAGAGAGAGAGAGAGAGAGAGAGAGAGAGAGAGAGAGAGAGATTTGTGGCTGACCTCCTACACGGAAAGATCTGTCTATCTGTTTCCAGAGGTATGTGTCACCATGGCTGACCACAACTTACATTTCTATGCTTATAGTAATAGTGAGTCAATCAAAGATCCAAGTATAAAACATTAAATAATAAAATTTTGGGAAATAACATAAGCAAATTTGCTTTTAGTCATAGATGAGAAAGATGTCTTAAGACAAAAACCACAGATTTTTAAACAAGAATTTTGATCAAACACTTCCGCATGATAATTAAAAACTCTATGGATTAAAATGTCATTTAAAAATCTAACAAATAGCACTAAGGGACAATGTTTTAACAAGCATCACTGATGGGTTTAATTTCTTTTTTTAACTTTTTTTATTACTTTAATTTTAAATAGCTTGCTTCACATGTCAATCCCAGTTCCTTTCCCCTCCCCTCCTCCCACACCCCCCCCCACCATCCTTCCAGCCTCCCACCCTATCACCACTTCCTTCCACATAGGGGATATCTAGAGTGTAACGAGAAGCCTTCCCGCCAGCCTGGTTCCAGAGCCACATCAGTCCCAAATAAACACACAGGAGGCTATATTAATTATGAAGCTGTTGACCTTGCTTGTTTCTTACTGGCTAGATCTGACTTAAGTATTTACCCCATAATTGTTAATCTAAGTATGTCTCTTACCGGAGAATAGTTCCGAACTTCTTATCCCTATGGCGGCTACATTGTGACTCCCTGTGTTTTTCCTACCCAGAGTCCTCCTGGACTCCCAGTCCCACCTATCTTGCTTCACTATTGGCCAACAGTGCTTTATTGACATATACACAGGACTTCCCCAACACTAGAGTCTGTCATTTCACTCAGGGCAGGGTCCAGGCACTACCCCTAAGAGTCCAGGCTGAGAGAGCATTCCTCTTTGTGTTCTGGACACACGAAGTCCTTTGTTTGCATGCCAGGGATAAATACTGATCTACTGCCCAGGGCCCCATAGGTTGCCCAGGCCTCCTCACCGACTCTCACACTCACGGGGTCTGGATCAGTCCCATGCTGACCTCCCAGCTGGCGGTCTGGGGTCAAAGAGATCCCCCTTGTTCAAATCAGCTGTCTCTGCTGGGTTTGCCAACCCATTTTTTGCCAATTTGTTCATCGCTCCTCTCTTTCTGTCACTGGGTTCCATGAGTTCAGTTCAGTGTTTAACTGTGGGTGTTTGCCTCTGCTTCCATCAGTCACTGGATAAAGGTTCTAGGATGAAATATAGGGTAGACATCAAGTTCATTATCAGGAATGGGCATTTAATGTTGTCTCTTCACCATTGCTTAGCTTGCCAGTTGGTGTCATCGCTTTAGATCACTAGAGGTCTCACTGGTGCCAGATATCTCTTCTAACCTATGACTCCCTCTATTATGAAATTTCTCATCCTGTTCTCTCCCTATTCTTCCCCCAACTCAACCATTTTGCTGCCCTATGACCTACTCTCTCTTCCCCTTCTCGACCTCTCTTTTTTCCAGCTCCCACTCACCCCACCCCCACCTCTTGCCATGTTCCCAATCTGTTCAGGAGATCTTGCCTCATTACTCTTCTCTGGGGTACCATGAATATCTCTCTTAGGTTCTTTCATGTTTCCCAGACTCTCTGTCAGTGGAAGTGCAGACTGGTGCTATCCTGATCCATGTCTAAAATTCATATATGAGTGAGTACTTACCATGTTTGTCTTTTTGTGACTGGGTTACTTCACTCAGGATGGTTTCTTCTAGTGCCATCCATTTACCTGCAAATTTCAAGTTTTCATTTTTTTTTCTGCTGAGTAGTACTCCACTGTGTAAATGTACTACATTTTCTCTATCCACTCTTCAGTTGAAGGGCATCTAAGTTGCTTCCAGGTTCTGGCTATTACAAATAATGCTGCTACGAACATAGTGGAACAGATGTCCTTGTTGTGTGGATTTGCATCTTTTGGATATATGCCTAAAAGTGGAATTGCTGGGTCTTGTGGTAGATTGATTCCCATTTTCCTGAGGAATCTTCATACTGAAGCAGTGGAGGAGTGTTCCCCTCTCTCCACATCCTCTTCAGCATAAATTGTCTTTGGTGTTTTTGATTTTAGCCATTCTGATAGGAGTAAGATGGTATCTCAGAGTTGTTTTGATTTGCATTTCCCTGATGGCTAAGGATGTTGAGCACTTTCTCAAGTGTCTCTCAGCCATTTTAGACTCTTCTATTGAGGATTCTCTATTTAGTTCTGTACCCCACTTTTTAATTGGATCCTTTGGTGTTTTGGAGTCTTGCTTCTTGAGTTCTTTGTAAATTTCGGAGATCAGCCGTCTGTTAGATGTGGGGTTAGTGAATATCTTTTCCCATTCTGTGGGCTGCCTTTTTGTCTTGTTGACTGTGTCCTTTGTCTTACAGAAGCTTCTTAGTTTCAGGAGGTCCCATTTGTTAACTGTCGATCTCAGTATCTGTGCTACTGGTGTTATGTTGAGGAAGTGGTCTCCTGTACCAATTTGTTGAAGAGTATCTCCCACTTTCTCTTCTAAGAGTTTCAGTGTGGTTGGATTTATGTTGAGGTCTTTGATCCATTTGGACTTAAGTTTTGTGTGTGGCGATAGACATGGATCTATCCACATTCTTCTACATGCCAATATCCAGTTATGGCAGCATCATTTGTTGAAGATGCTTTCTTTTTTCCATTGTATAATTTCAGCTTCTTCGTCAAAAATCAATGTTCATAGGTGTGTGGGTTCCATTGGTCTACCTGTCTATTTTTGTGCCAATACCAAGCTGTTTTCAGGACTATAGCTCTGTAATAGAGCTTGAAGTCAGGTATGGTGATGCCTCCTGATCTTAACTTGTGGAGTAAATCTCATTATTTTGACAAAACACCTGACAAAAGGGACATAAGAGGACAAGGTTTATTTTGGCTGATAGTCCATAGAGCCCATCATGGTGGGAACACTAACGTAGCTGGTCACATGGTATCCACACCCAGCAAAGAGAAAGCTGTGAATATTAGTGTTCAGCTCATTTTTATTCAGTCCAAGACCCCAACACATGGAGTAATAACAGAAAATATTTCTATTCTTCAGAAAGGTAAATGTGTCAAAGGTGATAACAACTATTACTGCTTCAGGGCCAGGTACAAGGAAACTCAGCTAGAGTGCTGACAAACTGTAAACCAATACAAGCTTTTAGAAGTCAAATAGAAAAAAAACTGCAAATAAATAAATAAATGCAAGCACCTCTCGATCCAGAGGTAAATTCCACTATTATGATATGTATGTTAGCACTGAACTTCAACGTTTTCTAAGAAGCATGCACACACTCCCCTTCTGCTGGAACTTTATTAGGGAAACAGAAAAGAAAAGCCTGAGAACAGCCAATGTGTTCATCAAGAAGGGATATATATTTTTACATACATACATACGTACATATATATTTCTATGACTCAAAGCAGAAAGCACCTAGGATACGGCGTTAATTTTAGAGAATGAAAAAGGTGGCTCACAAAAATATTTGCAACATGATTCTACTTTCTAATTTAAAGTAGATGCACATGCAACATTTCCACATTGAGGAAAAAGTTTGATAGCATCGATACTTCTAGATATTTACATCTTTTTCTGAGGGCACTTATATCATTTTTACAGTCAGAAAAAAAATTGCCTAGAAAAAGAAAACCCAACTTTCTCTAGAAGAGACAACCTGCTCCCTTGGCTATTCTATATTCCAGAAAAAGCACCAATGAGCCTCTGTTTTATAGATTATGTATTTTTTAATTACTAATTAAGTATAATTCTGAAATTACTACCCTGTTGGGATTTGTCCTGTAGGAAAAAGCTACACACCCACACATTCTAGTCCATTCAGATAGCTCTATTTGCATAGTTTCATTCATCAGCTACGGCCACCTACATTGCTTAATCTGAGCTACTGTATAAATAGAACTGGAGTGTGACTGGGCTGGCTATCAGCTAGTGCTGACTGCAGGAGCGGGAGCACGCATTATCCAAGACCAGCTATTCCCTGCCACTAGTGAGGTGAGTGCCACACCAATCTTCAAGGATATTTGCTCTCTGTTGCTGGGGGGGCGGTACTGTTTATAGGCTCTCAAATAATTCTGTTACAAAAAGATTAAAGACTTGTTATTGAATAAAGTGGTTTGTTTTTCAGAATGGAATTTGAAAACAGTTCTGGATTACATACATACCTTAGATTTTGTAATTGTAATATGAATCTGATTTTCCACATTGATGTCTCCAACATCAACATTTATCTCTTAGTTTCTATCTTGTTCAATCATGCAAGCAAATGGCCCTTTAGAGAAGAGTTCTTCCACATGTGTTTTCTCAGGCTAGCCCATGGGAGTAACAAAGGCACAGAAGGCTATGATAGTCCCTGAAAACAGAAAAGCAAAGCCAGGCACAACACTTCAGCTGGGGGCCATGGTGTCTTTACTATGCTACAATGTGAATTCTAACTCTCCAAGAAGATAGGCTATAGACTGCAACAAACAGATTTATTTAAAAGGCAATTTCTATAACCAGAAAAATGTTGTTTCTAGGACACGTGTACCTTTGGGTGAAAGAGCAAACAAAACCAATCACTGTTTTTGAAACAGCTCAGAAGGGCAATGTTCATTATGCTTGTATTACCTTGTTTCCTAATGGTACAGGCTACTATTTAAACTATTTTCTGTCCAACTGAAAGCCTATCCTTAATATGTTTACCTAGCCTCATGATCCCCCACATAATGGTTAAAAATTAACTATTCTGTAAAAGTTACAGGTCTGTTTTTTTAAAGAAAATCAGTTATTCTAAGCCAGCAATAGTAGCATGGATTCAGGTTACCCAGACTAATTCAATCCTAAATCAAAGTAGTTACATAAAGGTTTGCAGGCAAAGGACAAAGGAAGTCATAAACCAATGCATTCAACAGCTGCATTAGTCATAAGCAACACATTCAACGAACAGTAGATACAGAAAAATGAGGAAATCTTTCTTGTAGGTTTTGTATGCTATCTTACAGCCCCTTAGCATTGCACGAATCGTAAACAAAACATTCTGAGGGCATCAGATCAGATACCATTAACAGGAAATGGCTGCTTACACAAAAAGCCCAAGGCAGTCTGAGATAATTTGGCTCTTGACCTTACACCTCTTCCCAATCACAATACTTTACTCAGCCAAGAGAAGAGTGTGTGAGATAGTGGATAGCACACAGCTTCTTCAGGGAGCTCTGCCTTATGCCATCATCTTCATAAATCTGTGACTAGTATTCCAAAGAAGCGGGCCATGTGCCTTGAGTGCAAGAAGAGAGGACGCGTAAAACAAAACCCCACGTTCTGACCCACCCCTCCCTGCAGTAATTAACTAATAATTGTCGAATGTACTGGTTTACGACTTCCTCTGTCCTTTGCCTGCATCTTTAGGATAACCCAAATCCATGTTCCTGAGCCAGGATCAGTCATCGTCGATGGCTCAGAATAAATGATTTCCTTTAATACAGGGCTGTAACTTTTATAGACTAGTTAATTTTTAACCCCTTTGAACAGAAAAGGGAGATAGGATAGTAATGGGACGATAGAATAGATAACATTTTGAGGTTTCTTTCTTTTTACACAGGATAAGATATAGGTTTCTGCTTTTATTCTTCTACATGTGGATATCCAGTTTTCCCAGTAAAAATGCTTAAAGTTTTATTTTTTAATATGTGTTTTTGATATCTCTGTCAAGAATTAGACGGTTCTATTTGCCTGAGTAATGAAGTAATAGTTTTAAACGGAAGGGAAATCAAAAGGGAGACAGAAGCGCGTTTCCAGGTCTGTGTGGAGAGAGCAGTGGGTTTGCGTTTGCTCCTGCTAAGCAGACTGGTGTGGAGGACGCGTTGCCTGCTTCCGGGCGGTGTTTAAGCTAGGCTCTAAGAAAAAAAAAGTCTAGAGGCTTTCTTCCTTTGTGTTTGTGGGGCCTTTGAGCCCCACGCTGCGGTCTACATTCTGTAGCTGGACAGGTTCCCATTCACTCCAGAGAGCCTCAGTCTGCAGTCCACGGGATGGCAAAGTTCACCCACCTTGTTTGCCCATCAATCAGACTGCCTTGATTTTCCAGAAATCTGCAGCAGCAGGCTTGGAGGCCTCAGTCTAGGCAGGTCACAAGCTACAGGTCACAGTCCTCGCCACCAGGGGTCAGGACTTCTGATCACTGAGTCTTCCACAGCTCAGGCTCCGGGTTACTAGAACTTCTCAGTGGATCTGTCGTCCCGTCTTCTTACAGTGCTTTCTCCTGGACAGTCGCTAGGGCAGAGTGTCCCCAGGCACGCTGACTGGTCACCTGCCTGCATTTTCTGGTCTCCAGAGTTTTCTCAAACAATAGACCCCCTTTGAAGATAGCTCCTGATCACAACGCTCTGAGTTACTTTATTAAGGAGATGGCTCCTTAATGCTAGTCAGCATTGAGAGAGGACTCACCTCAGATCAAACGCCTGCCCTGGATTTAACGCTTGTGAGAACTGTGCTTCTCCCGAGGCTACCACCGCTCCTTTGTTCTCATTGTGGTCACCCAAACTGGGCTGACCACGTGATTGCTGCTTCCCTCCCTCCCTCCTGACCCCTCCCAGCCCCTCTCCCCATCCTCCACTCATGCACGGAGCCCAGCAGGAGTTTGGGGACTGCTTCCTACTTCTTCACGTTCTCTTTTTGCTCTTCATGCATTTTAGCCAACCCCCACCCCCACGCGCCTTGATTCCCTGCCTCCTTGGAATATAGTTTCTCTTTTGTTACCCTGATCTTGTACCTTGAAAGTGATCAGAGAAAATCGGCAATCTTACTCCCTCCATTTATTCTTGAGAAATTACGCTTATTCTTGATCACCGTCATTACTTTTTGAATATTCAGAGGATGCCAACTGTGAGAGGCAGAAACTCCAAGGTGGCTCCCGCATGCTTTAAGACAACCTCATTAGTTTCTAACTAACTGACGCTTTTCTGACGCAATATGTTTCCTGTCCATTATTACTTTCCTGGAGTCATAATTCCTTTTATGTGGAGAAAATATTTAGAAAATAATGTATGTGCACACACTGCTCGGCACTCGTTTAATACTGACTAAATTTATCATTACAAGGGTTTTGTCTTGGCTTCTGAGTTACATATTTGTATTTCTTTCCTTACAGTGAAAATCACGCAACATCTGTATGGCTTTTTTGCTATGTACTGCAACAAAACAATCCTAAGGTTACAATATAAACATTGCCCGACTAACAGTAAATCTACTCAGCTTGAGATTTTTCTGTGCTTTTAAAAAATTGGTATTATTCTATGGCTAGAGTGTAGCACAAGTGCACAGTCAGAATTCTATGCTCAAGTTTATTTATTTTCTTATTCTGTATGACTATCAATTTCATGCTGAGTTAGCCAGGGCTGTTTCTGATGATTCCAAGCACGCATGGTTGTACTAATATTGTATTTTAATCCTGCAGAAACCTGAAAAATGAAACCTAAAATGACATATTCAACCTCCAGAATTTCCCCGGCCAAGCTGAGCAGCACAACAGGCAAAGCTGTGGTAAAACCTTGCAAGTTAAGAAGTAAGAGCATCAGTGTTCCTCTGTTCCACGCTGTTTGCAGTGTATTATCAAACACTTTTTATTTCAATGCTCAATCATGCTACCTTACCCACAACACCTAAGAACGTAAGAGCTGAAAGGAAAAGGGTGGTTCATGGTGTTATTGGGCACAGCACAGGGTAGCGCTGGCTTAGATAACTTAGACCTTTGGTGAGTGTAAACTTAGTAAAATACAGTCCTTTATATGAGTCCCTTCACACTTCTCACAGTTCCTGCCACCAAATCCCAAAACTCAAATGAAGATACCCAGGCCCAAATAAAGAAGAATGAACCAACTATAATTATCTAATTCCAAACCCAGATTTTAGAATACGAGGAAAGAGAAACAAAGTCTTAGTATCCAGAAAATGAAGCCCATTATAGATACTGCGTTATGGAGTAGACATGGCAGAATTCCCGACATTGATGCCAGAGCTCCCTTTGAATATTGAGATCTTACAACCCACATGCTACAGCCTTTGTTTCAACCTGACCCTGAGAGGCTATTTATGATGTCTAAGACACAAATGGAATTTTCTATTTTTCTTTGGCTAAGTAAAATGAGGACTACTGAACAACTGGTTGATTTTTTTTTTAGTTTAGTTGATTGAATTTGTATTTGGTTAGCAGAGCAGATTTCACCCCGCCTCGGCCAAATAAGACTCTATGTAGCTCAGACTTATCTGGATATTCAGGATCCTCCTTCTTTAACCTCTTGAGTGCTGGAACTAGAGAGTGACCGCATCTGGACTGTGGTCATTTTCATCAGTGGCGGTAGAGTCTAATGAATAGTTTTGATATTAAACATACTGCATTAATTACTTTTACACCTCTATGGCCAAAACCATACAGAAGCCACTTAAAGACAGACAATTCCTTTTGCTTCACGGCTTAGAATGTACAGTCAATCGTGATATGGGTGGTGGCTGGATCAGTTTGATCTAGCAGCAGTTTCTTCCATGGCACCAAAAGGAGGAGGACACTGAAGGACCAGACTGTAATCTTCTGAGACTGGCCCCTGTGGTGTATGCATATCAGCAGGGACCTACATTCCAGAGGTCCCACAATCTCCCAAATGGTGTCACCAGGAGAGGACCAAGTATCCAAGCACAAGAGTCTGTAAGGACATTTAACACACTCCTTAGAGGGCTCACAAACCATGTAACCTTGGGCAGTGTTGTGATTCCTAGAAGCCTCAGATTATCATTATAAAGCTAAAATAATAAACGTTACAAGATTATTATGAGTGGCTGAATTAAAAGACCTATGAAATTAATTGGCAGAGTGTTTGGCCTAAGGCTGATGCTTGGTTAATGGCAGTTATTTTAGTATCAAATACCCTTTACAGTTTATTCTAGATGAGCAGAAAAACAGCTCAAATCTCATATGGATGTCAACACTCCCCTGGGTTAGGCAATGACTGGGTTAATGCATACTTAATGTTGAGCCATGATCCCTCAAATGACTTTCTGAAAACAACGACAAAGACCTAAATGTTTCAACAGTTCATTTGGCAGCAAAATAATAATCCCAGCCTATTATCTGCTAAATCCCAAAGTCTGTGATGGTTAATTTCAAATGTCAACTTGATTGAACCACTTGAGGCATTCCGTAGGCATATCTTTGGGTATGCCTATGACAGCATTTTCCAGACAGGACTAATTTTGACTCACCCTGGAAATGGGCAGCTGCAACATCCCATGGCCTGTATCCAGAACCAGTTAAAAAGGATACAGTAAAGACAGCTGTGCACCGCCTCTCAGTCTCCCCTTCACGGTTTGCTGAGATGTGAGCAGGCAGCCTCCCACTGCCACACCTTCCCCTATATAAAGGACCCGAAACATGAGCAGAACTAGTCCCTTCCTCCTCTGGTTTGCTTCTTGACAAAGTCCCAACAACGAGAAATGTAACTAATAGAAGACTTCAGTTCATTTTGTATAGCATATCCTATGGCTTACTAGAAAATTAGTCAAGTTAATTTTTAACCAAGTAATACTACTCCAGTCTCTGTTGGAGGTGCTGTATATATTTATAGGATATGACCTACAGAACTCTATACTTTTTTTTCCTATTGTTAGGATCCCAACAGAAGGCCAAAGAAATTTGCCATGTCTACTACATGAGGCTCCGTTCTGGCCTCACCATAAGAAAGGAGACCTGTTACTTTGAGAAGGAACCCACCGAAAGTTATTCACAAAAATCAGGTAAGTTCATTCCTTGACAGACTGATGGGCATCTAGCAGCTTTTACTTTCCATATCTATCTATACACTTTTTCCTCATCCTTGAGGAAAAGAGTAAAGACGATACTGTGTGGGTCATTTTAGAGGGGGTTTTTAGTTACGTGGGAGAAATGGATACAATGGTAAGTGAAAACAGATTATAAACAAGTATGTACTCATTTGGGGTTTCATGCTTTTTTGTTTGTTTGTTTTAATATGGAGGAGGTACACTAACTGGTTCACAGTGACTGCTTTTGAGTGTTGCAATTGTGGTGAGCAGTTTTCTTCCTCTTGGTGAGCTCCGCTGGAGTGTGAATGGAAAAGCATATTTTCAAGTGAAAACCTCACCATTAAAGAGGTACTGATCCCGCCGGGTGGTGGTGGCGCACGCCTTTAATCCCAGCACTCGGGAGGCAGAGGCAGGCGGATCTCTGTGAGTTCAAGGCCAGGCTGGACCGATAGCCTCCAAAAAAATACAGAGAAACCCTGTCTCGTAAAACCAAAAAAAAAGAGGTACTGATCCCATTAGACCATTGGGTGAACACCGCCTTGGGATCAATTACCGCTGCTGCCATATTGCCCGTCAAAAAGGATAGTATCTTTGCAGAACGGAGATTGGTGGCTCACCCCTGCCTCCTATTGCTGTCTTGCAGGTAGAAAGCATGAAAGGAACTTCCTTGCCTATTCCCAGGATGCTGTGAAGCGCTCCCTGATTGATAAATGCAGTTTCCAAGAATGTGTCCAATCTCCTGACAAAGAGAGTATCCGAGGTATGACTGGTCACAGGGGCCATGTGGGGGTGAGGTAGGAGATAAAACAGGGGCCTTGGCCGGGCAGGGGTGGCGCACGCCTTTAATCCCAGCACTCGGGAGGCAGAGGCAGGCGGATCTCTGTGAGTTCGAGGCCGGGCTGGACCGATAGCCTCCGAAACAATACAGAGAAACCCTGTCTCGTAAAAAACAACAACAACAACAAAAAAACCAAAAAACAAAAACAAACGAACAAACAAACAAACAAACAAACAAAAAAACAGGGGCCTTGGCAAGTGCTACTCCGCACATCAGACTCAAGAGGTCCGATGGGCGTGGTCTGATGGGCGTGGTCTGACGGGCGTGGTGTAGCTGTGCCTGTGCGCTCTCTGGTTAGCAGTCAGTCCATTGATATCTTGGAATACTTGCTGTAGGTTGGAATCATGTGTCCATTAGTCCTGATAAAAGAATTCTCCTTTGAGAAGAAAAAACTGCATTCATTTCACAATTTTCACCATGAGACAGAATAAAGAACTATTATTTTTTTAAAATACAATTTTAACACAATGTGGCTTGAAGAATAAAGTTCTTACAATTTGTGCAAAGTTCCAAATAAAACTGTGATAACCAAAAACTGAAGAGCGTCCAGGGAGTGTAATTCAGTGGTAGAACACTTGCCTCATGCGCAAGGCTCTGCATTTAATCTCTGTCAATGTGGGGAAAAACAAAAGTGAGTCCTGGGCATAGTGGCATGTGCCTTTAATCCCAACATTTGGAAAGCAGGTGAATTTCTGTGGGTTCAGGTCTGTCTGTCTGAGTCCCAGGACAGCCAGAACTGCATAGTGAGACAGTGTCTCAAAAATAAAGCCCCAAATTAATTAATTAATTAACAAGTGGAAAACCCCACCACTAAGGAAATGATTACAAATCACATGTTATTTTAATATATATTACTTTTTTATATATAGGATATTATGTAAAGCAATTTAGTATGCATCATATTTAGTATGTATTTAGTATATATTTAATACAAATAATATTGAGCTTCTAATCAATATTTATTTCTCATAAACTGGTTTTAAATTACTTTGCTTTAATGTTCACATACAAATTCTTATTTTGCATGTTATTTTTATTTGTAAAATTCAATAACCTGAAGAAGATACAATAAATTTTAATGGAGGATAGTCATAAGGATCCAAGTCTACTTCAGTTCACACACATATGCTTTAAAAATGTTATCATGTGCTCTGCATGTGTCTCAGGCAAAGACACAAACTAGCTTACATCTGCATCCCCTAGAGCAGTGGTTCTCAACTTTCCTGATGCTGCTACCCTTTAATACAGTTCCGCATGTTATAGTGGCCCCAACCATAAAATTATTTTTGTTGCTACTTCATAACTGTAATTTTGCTACTGTTATGAATTGTAATGCAAATATCTGATACTCAGGATGGCTTTTTGATCCCTGTGAAAGAACTGTTCAACTCCCAAAAAGGTTGCTGCCCACAGATTGAGAACCACTGACCTAGTGTTTTGGACATCTCTAAGTAACCATTCTTTATAAAGGGCCATAGATTCACCTATGTCTTCCAAAACGTGACCATTCTTTTTCACAGTCCCTTAGACTGTAGGAAGGCAAAGAATGGAGCTGTCCTCTTCCTCAACCCCAGCCCCACCATGCAGGAAGCAAGCACTTTTAATCCTACCCTGGTACCAACTATGGTATGTGGCTTTTGCCCATGTTGCAATGACAAAGTATAGCTCATGTTAAAAAAACAACAACAAAATTCTTCACAGGAATTGTTTCAAAAACTAGCCAAGAAAATTGTTGATAGGATTGTTGGTTTGCTGTTTATCCTTACTGACAGCAATTTCACTCTTTGCAGTGGCTTGTGCCTCCCTGAGCACATATAACGACCAATCTGTTAGCTTCAAAGTTTTGGAGAACGGACGCTATGTGATCAACGTTGAAGACTCTGGAAAAGACCAAGAAAAAGGTAGGCAATTTTTGACTATTTCCACATGTCTATACTCAGTAATTATATATATATATATATACACACATATATATATATACTCAATATCAACAATAGACTAATTGAGCTATTCAACAGCAATGGGTTTCATCATCTATGCTTATTCCAGTCTTTCCTGTGTTAAGAAGTGTTCCGTATAGACAGGTTCTTCAGGAAAGAACTCAAATGTTGAGAAATAACTGTTGAGAAATACAGAAAGAGAGACTACATGTATTTATTAAGGCTAGATCTTTCCAACCTTTTCAGTGTCATAAATCTTCTGTGAAAGAATATTTCTCTGCCATAAGCGGTAACACCCATGTTGAAGAATTCATCAGTGCATAATATATTTTGAAGTTTTTGTAAGAGCCACTAAAGTTTTGCTTTTACTGGTATATGGCAAGGAATAGGGCAAGGTTTTCTGGCCCTGTGAATGATGGAATGGAAACCTTTAGACACAATTGTCTCTCACCAAGTGACACCATGTTGTCTTTCAGACAAGATGCTGCTGCGCTACTATGAGTCTCCCCGTTCCTCGAATGAATCAGGTATGTGGAGTCAGGGTGGAGGTGCTGCTTGGCTTCTCATTCAGGGGTGAATCTAAAATAGCCCTAATAAAGAAAGAGAGGTTCAAAAGGTTATCCTCAACCCCATGCTCATTGTAAGGTGTTAGCTTCTGAGAGCACTTATCCCACCTCATCTATTTCTGGATTAGTAGGATAAAGGATTAGCTATATAAAGCAGTAAGCTACGTATAATAATACAGCCCATCTTCAGCCACAGCTAGAAAGATTCTGCTCAAAGTTTTTCCAGAGACAGTACCTTCTATATCATCATTGCATCCATGTCTCATGCCTCATTACTATACCAATCATCAAGAGAGAGGAAGGTAAGTGAGTACATTCATTTTCCCTTCCAGGACACAACTAGAAGTTACACATCACATGTCTCCTCATCCTTCAGTTGGTCAGAACTTAGCCCAAAAGCAACACTGAGCCATGAGAACACAGGCAGGGAAATGTTCTATTATTATCTATTAAAAGACAACTCGGAGATGGCTTCACATGCACACAGACAAGCTGATGTCCAAAGTCATGTCCATTGGGATCAATTCAGTTAGAAAAGATCAGAACAATGACAGAAATTAAGAACATAGCCTCCTCCTTTAAGGAATTTAGAATCTTGGGCCAGGCTTGGTGGCACACACCTTTAATCCTAGCACTTGGGAAGCAGAGACAGGCTAGTCTCTAAATTCAAGGTCAGCCTGATCTGCTGAACAAGTTCCAGGACACCCAGGGCTGTTAAAGAGAGAAACCTTGTTTCAAAAAAGAGAAATGAGAGAAGGAAGAAAGGAAGGAAGGAAGGGAGGAAGGGAAGAAGGAAGGAAGGGAGGGAGGGAGGGAGGGAGGGGGAAGGAAAAAGAAAGGAAGAAAGGCCCTCTACCTACTTGATAATGATTCTTCAATTTCATTTGGGTACAAATACTTCTAAATGGATCAGTGAGCTATTCTCCTTCATATCTTGGATTCTTTGGGTTAAGTTAAATTGAGATGAGTTACAAACTTAGGTGGTTTTTTTACTTATAATTTCTTATGTTCTTTTTATTTTTAGTTGATAGGTAAGATTGTATTAATTATGTACAATATGATACTTTTGAAAAGAGTTTATTTTTTATGTGTCTAAATTTTGCCTGAATGCATATAAGTATACCACATGTGGGCAGTGCTTGAAGAAGCCAGTGGAAAGCAATGGACCTCCTGTAAGTAAGCCATCCTATGGGTTCTGGGAACTGAACACAGGTCCTCTGCAAGTGCTTCAGATGCTCTTAACCACAGAAGCATCTCTCTGGCCCCACAGCAGGAGCTTTGGAAGTATCTGTCGTCTATCTATCTTGTAGAATGGTAGAGTGCAGCAAAGTGACATGCATTACCTCACATGTTATCGTTTTCATTGTAAGGTGATGGAGTGGATGGTAAGTTACTGATGGTGAACATGAGTCCTCTCAAAGACACAGACATCAGGCTGCATGCCAATGACAAGAACCACTCTGTGAAGGTAACAGAAATGCGACAATGTAACTGCCACGAATTGATTCTACCTGTTTGTGTGTATTCAGATGTTAGGGAAATTTTGTAGACAGAGGTGTGTGCATACTATTGTAAAGAAAACACAGTCAGTCATGTCTAATGACTTGCTCAGGAGGAGGGGAAGGAGGAAAGTGTGCTGTGGCCTTGTTACCACAAGTCTGGTCTCTAGCAACAGCACAGAATCACCAGGGAACTTGCTAGAAAGCAGGATTTCAGACTCCCCCACAACTGAATCAGAACTAAAGTCTGACCAGTCTCCCAGGAGCCTCACCACTTCTCTGCAGTTTGAGAGTCACTTCCATGCAGAATGGTCTCACATGCTTTCCATTTGGCTGTGTTCTACCAGAAATTATATAATAATTTTACATTACATATTATAAATAGTATATATTAATTATATATTATATATTAATCGTGTATTAATTAATTTCTCCTCTGTCAAGGAGACAGCATGTTGACAAGCAAACAAGTCAGAGCAAGAAGTTAGGAAGAAAATAGGATAACATCATAAGGAAGACATTTCTATAAATATACCAAACTTAAAGTGATCCAGTCACGTAAGACATCAACATGAACAGTGGATAGTGGTTAGCACTCTGTTCAAGAGGATTTTCTCAAGTGTATATACTGTCAGATCTAGCAGATATAATAGAAGTTAAAGCAGGGTGCCACGGCATATCAAGTCCTGGCTCAATGCTTCACACGCCTCGTCTCTTTGATCCTCAATGGAAGTGTGTGATGGAATAATTACACTGGACACCTAGTGTGCAACAAGCCATCTCAAAACTCAGTGGATTAAAATAATCACCACTTATAGGTCCTTAGCGATTGAGACCTGGGTTGGGCCCCCAGTATTTATTGTCAGATGACTTACAACCACCTGTAACTCCAGCTGCAAGATGGTGAGATGCCTCTTGCCTCCATGGGTATCTGCATTCATGTGCATGTACCCACACAGAGACATACCCACATGTCTATAATTTAAAGTAAAATAAATCCCAAAGATAACATAAATAATGATCACCACTTTTCTGTATTTAATAATTTAAAGAATTTAAGTTATTAATTAATCTAATTAATTTAACAAAAATGTCTGTATTTAAATTGGAAATGAACCAGTCTATAGGGAATGCTGGCCAGGTACAAACCTGGTACATGAGCTAGCTAGTTAGAGCTCATTCTCTGTGGTATGATGCCAAGCTCAGTCTTAATGCATAAGAGAGGGGCCTGGCTCGGCCCCAACCTACTGTGCCAGACTATGTTTACTCCTCATGAGAGCCCTTACCCATGAGAAGTGGGCTAGGGGGGGAGGTGAAGAGGGGTGGGAGGAGGTGAGGGGTGCAGGAGGAGGGGTGGGAGGGAGAACTGTGCTTGGAGTGTAAAAATGAAATCAAAATATGAAAAAAATGTAAAAAAAAAAAAAGGAAAGGTAGAAGCTTGCTAGAGAAAGTGCCATGTGCTTTGCATTAGAGACAGTAAACAGCAAAAGAGGGGCATAAACCAGAGGACCACATACAAATGGGCTCAGTGTGTACCACGCTGATCTAAACGTGCCAGGTCCCTGTCAATCACTTCCACTCCTACCGCACGTCCTTTGCCTTCTGCCGTTCCCGCCCACTGCTTAATCCTCCATCCTAGACTCAGTAAACAGACCTGCTAGGGAGACCAGTTATAAATGGTTCCTCTCCCATGGGTTCTAGCTCAGGGAGGCAATGTGAGCCCTGGACTTCCCATTCACAGACCGGCTTTTTCTCTTCTTCCCTCAGCTGGAAAAGTGCCAATCCCCCCTGCCAGAAGAGGTCTTCTTCGTCCTTCACAAAAAGTCCTCCGACTACGTTTCATTCGAATGTAAGAATCAGCGTGGCACATACATAGGCGTGAAAGATAACCAGCTTGCTCTAATACAAGAAAATAACAACGACAGTGAAAATATTATGTTTAAGATTTCTAAAGTTTAGTGGAATAAGAAGCTTGTGGGTTCTGGCTTGAACAACTTAAATGTTACCACTAAAGAAAGGGCGAGAGAAAGGAAGAGACATCTAAGGGGATGGTTAAGATGCTGTGGAATGTTTATCTTATTATATATAAAATTCTTTTCTTTTTCTCTGTACAAATACAAATGCAATAAAAACATGAATATATGGCATAGGGCATTGGTAAAGAAATCGAAAGACAATCAGTCTTGGCATTTGCTTTCGTCTGCTTTGAGTTCTGAACGAATTCACTCTTTCAGATCTCTCCAGGTGAACAAGCACCATAAATCATGCTATGCTTTAGACAAGGGTCCATTTCAAAATCCTAAAAAATACAAAATGTTTCCCCGGTTCTAAACAAAGGTTGAAATACTAGAGCAACTAGCGGAGGACCAGTTCCTGCCCAAGATGACTGTTTCTCACTAAGAACAAAGCACCAAATGAATTGGTAAATACCCCAGGCAGCCCTCAGACCAACTCTTTCTGTTAAGAAGTCTAGCACTCCAAATACCTACACATCTAGACAGGTATGATACATGTGTGGAAAGGCAGGATAACTGAAAAATTAGAGAAAAAGAAAGCCAGTATTTGTGAAGTGGGATAATGTTACCTGTGCTTGTTTCTTTGGGGCAGGGGGTTGGAGACAGGGTTTTTCTGTGTAACAGTCCTGGCTGTCCTGGAACTCACTTTGTAGTCCTGGCTGGCCTCGAACTCACAGAATTCACCTGCCTCTACCTCCCAAGTGCTGGGATTAAAGGTGTGCACCACCATTGCCCAGCTACTTGTTTCCTTTTTAGAATTCTGATGTTTTTTTTTAAGAGATATCAGTTTAAGTTTCAGGATGCCAAGCTTATGTTAGGAAATGGAACACATTTTCACTCATAACTGTGATTGGGGTATCCAAGTAGAATGGGATCCCACTGTGCAGTCCTCTTACTAGAAAGGCACTGAATTAACTTCAGATTTTCAATCGCTGGCTATGTCCTAGGTTTGTGCCATGCTGTGTCCTCACCACTTTCCAAGAGCTGTCACTTTGAATGCGTGCATCAACTTGGATGCAATTTCTCTACGACTTGCTCTCCTTACACAAGAATTCTTTTGTTGTTTGGGTTCACAGTGGCACTGCTCACTGTGAAATATATTAGCTTAACTTTTGCTCTTTCTCTGGTTCTTTTGACCAACACTTCCTTAGCGTACCTCCTCCTCCCTGAGCTTCACTTTTTTTTCTCTGACATCTATATCCCAGCACTTTCATCCTGCTTTGCTTACTTTGCATTGTGGAATTTTATGTATACCTACTGGCTTCAAGTTTGTTCGCTAAACTTTTTTTGTGTTTTACTGTTACTAAAGTAGTAAAATTTATATTAACCATATGGTAATATTTTTAAACTACTTAAGGAATAGCTTTGCTTACTTTGACAACAGAAATTTATACTATATTTATATTGGCTTAAAATGTACAGTAAATGTGAAAGATGACAACAGAAAACTGATGGAATATAATATGACCATTTCTGAAAGTGTAAGCTTTTAGTTTTCAGTTGATAAAAGCTATTGTATATAATAGCTGATGGGATGCATGGTAAAAGAGGCTGGGAATTGCTGTATAAGATCATACATAGTATGATGTAACTTTTTTTTATTAATTTTCACTGTTTTACTATAGAGACAAAAATAAAAACACTATCTATGTCATCTCCTAGAAACCACAATGTTGACTACATGAATTTGTACAATATACTTAAAATAATGATTAAGTAGCCAAATATATCCGTGACATTGTTTATAACATTGAATAAACTATTTGGAAAAATCATGTGTGAGCATGACTTTATCACAGAATGCTCCAATGTTCTGAGTTCCTAAGTGAAAATGAGCATACTCCAGTCCATCACTATTGACAAATGAACTGAGCAGGCTATTTGACAACTCGGGTATTTATAACTAAAACTTCCCACCGAAGGGATTGTGTCTACTTTGTCTTCATCCTTCTAGTGTCCACTGTGGTAGACCTCCTTCCCTCCCTAAAATGACTTTTCACTTTTGCTCCAACCCAAACACACACCCACATGCTCCTGAATCAGAAATTAGCCTACTTAGTTGGCTTTCACTCAGCTACCTTATTTTGTTTTGTTTTCTTCTAAAAGGTACTTTTAGAGCTGAGAAGACTTTTAGGCAAGCATGAGGAACAGAGTCTAGATCTTAACGACCCACATAAAGGCCAAGAGTGACTGTAAATCCCAGTACTAGGAGATGGACAGAGCTAGGCTAATCCTGGAGGGCTGCTGGCCAGCCAGCCTAGCCAAAGGGATAAGCTCCGGATTCTGAGACTGTCTCGAAACCTAGAGGAGCAATAGAGGAAGAAACGTGATGTTGATCTCTGGCCTCTATACACGTGCACATGCACACACCTCACACACGTATATATTTTCCACATTGTTAAAATCAGTGTTATTTGATTAAAATATTCAAATGTGTACTAACATTTTGTATTACTTGCATTGCTTTGATGGTTGGTAATACATGTTACTGGAAGTATTCTGTCCATTCAGTTTTAGCAGAAATGATAATTTTATCGGATGGCTATCTCAAAATTCACAGTTATGTAACTTTATATTCCTTAAGTTTCTGTGTATTGGGGGCTTTTATTTTTTAATTTTGCTTTTTTCTTTCCCCTCCCCCAACTCCTCTCAGCTTTTCCCCCACCTCCCAACACCCCACTTCCTGTTTTTCCTGCTCTCTTTCTCTAAAGAAAGACACGGAACCAACAAAACAGCAAAAAATGAAAATAAAAACAGACCAACTAAAAAAAGGAGATAGGACAAAAAAATGCCAAAACAAAACCAAAAGCTCACACAAAAGCATGGTGTTTGTTTGATGTTGCGCACACTACTCCTGAGCATGAGGCCTGCCCGGGAGTGTGATTGTCATACCTAGTGACACTCTGGGAGTGGGGGGGGCGACACTGATTTTTTTCCCTTCCCTAGCACATATCAACTATAAATAGCTTCTTGGTTAGAAGTGGGACTTTATGTCCACGTCCCCTCTAAGTGCTGGGATTTTTGTCTGGGTTGAACCTGTGCAGGTCTTGTACGTGTTATCACAGTTCCTGTGGGTTCATACGTCTATCAGCACTGTTGTGTCTACAAGACAGTTTGCTTGGAGTCATCTACCACCTCTACTTTTAAAGTCTTTCTGTCTCCTCTACTGCGTAGATCCCAGACACTTCAAGGGAGGAGTTTAATAAAGACTTCCCACCTAGGGCGAAGTGCTCCAAAGTTTCCTGCTCTTTTCACATTGTCTAACTGTGGATCTTTTTGCTAATTCCCATCTACTGCAAAAAGCATCTCTGATGAGGGTTAAGTGATACTCAGCTCTGTGGGTATAGCAATATGTCATTTCTTAATTATTTTATTGCTATGTTCCTTTAGCAGAAAGATAGTAGTAGACTTTCTCCTAGGCCTATGACCTCTCTAGTCCTAGGTTCTTGGCCACTTTAGCAGTGCCAGGTATGGGATCCATCCCATGGAGTGTGCCTTAAGTCAAGTTTTAAAGAGTGGTTGTTTATTCCATAACGCTTGTACCACTGTTGTACCAGTATATATTGCAGGCAGGTAGATCACTGGGTGAAACTTGACAATTCCTTTTCCCCACCAGTCAGCAAAGAGCTTTCCAGAACCATGAGTAGGGTGAAACTTTCAGTTGGGCACCGGCTCCATTTCTCCACATTTAATGACATAAAGAAGTTGTACCATCAGTAGCAGGGCAGTGCTACCAGGTTAGATACAGACAGTAACTAGTAGCCTTAGCAATCGCTCCTGATGTTTGAGAGTAGCCTATGCATCCCTTTGGCCAACAACTCAGCAAGATTTAACCCATTCTTGGTAGTCGATGAGGTTTTAAATGGTGGCATAAGACATCTTCTTGGGACACTGTCTCCCTCATTATATTGTGTTTCGATTTAAATTTCCTTCATATATGTATATTTTTTAGGAAGTATCTGTGATAGTAGGCTTCCATATGGCTTTTCAATAGGTCTTTATTGTTAGCTGTCCATCTCCATATTCTCTCCCTTACCCTGCCCTCTCATCCTCTTTTCTACTTAGTCCTCCTTTTATAGTTTCCCCTTTATCTCTTTGTAACAGGAGACTCTCCTCCCCACTGGTCCCTTATGAGCTACCTAACCTCTGTGGTTATTCATATTGAAACATACATATGAGAGATCCTGTCTCCAAAAGTAAGATGTCTGACTCATGAAAAGCAACACTTGAGGCTGATCTCTGGCCTCCATGCACAGCATACACATGGATATGCCAGCACACATACACACACACACACACACACACACACAAATGCACACATACACACACACCTATACAGAAAAATTTCATAAAAATTTTTGTCTATCCTTACTAAAATTAATGAAGAAAATAATCTGTGTTAAAACAAAACTATGCTGTAATTATATTAAAACTTCTAAGAAATTTACTCTAGGTCTTAGGTTGCTATTGCTAAACTAAGCTGTTTTTTTCAACTGTTTAATACGTAAATGTGCAGATAATCTAACAGGACTAATATCCACCTTAACTTGCCTATTCATAAGGTTATCTAGTAGGCCCTCCCTTCTCCTATGTGTGATACTTGGAAGAACAAATTTGGCAAGCTTTGAATATTTGTCAAGGTACACTGGGCCCAACCCTTAATACAAAGTTAAATACTTAGCTTGCCTGTGACTCTGCAGAATCTGTGATTTGTCACTCAAGTCACTTCCTTTACTTCTGGAGAAATTAGGCAAGAAATTCTGCCCAAGTCACCAGTAAAGGTCAACTTTGAGAATCATATTTGTCACTGATCTCTTTTTTAAGGTATCATGTCTTTAAGGAAAATTACCAGGAAAGGCCAAGAATCCTGATCACCCTCTCCTCCTCTCTCACCTCGGTTGTGCACCTCCCCCTTCTATCAGCAGGGCATTGTGACCCCTCGTCCTTGCTAGATGGCATTTCTCTCTGGTCCTAAAGTCACCAGACTAACCAGATTAATTTTTATGACTAATAAATATAGTGATGTATAAACAAAATAAATCTATCCTCAAGGATATAGCAGCAATTCTTGGAACCAGTGTTTTCTATACCTAAGAATCTAATTTAAGGATCTATTGCAAAACCATAACCAAGTCGCAATTTAAAATGTTTCCCTTAAGGTCAGCTATTCTGAGGGTACACACCAAATTATCAAATACCCTGAGGCATAAGTTGTACTCTCATACTATTATTATTTATTATCATTATCTTTTCCAAGAACATATGGAAAGCATTAACAGTTTGGTTAAGTACATGGGTGAAAGTGGTCCAACTCTGGAATAAAATGTCTTAGAGCCTTGATTCACATTTGAGTCACTATTGGTTTCTTCTTCCTCTTTCTCTTCCTCTTCCTCTTCCTCTTCCTCTTCCTCTTCTTCTTCTTCTTCTTCTTCTTCTTCTTCTTCTTCTTCCTCTTCCTCCTCCCCTTCCTCCTCCTCCTCCTTCTCTCCTTCTCCTTTGTGTATGCATGTTATTTATGTGTTTATGTGTGTGTATGTGTGCCCATACATGTGGAGGTCTTCGAGATTTCTTATTATTGTTAAGAGTCTTTATCCTTTTTCTTATTATGAAGATGTTGGCTGTTTGTTATGGTTTCTTAACAGCTAGCTCTGACTTAATTATTAACCCATAATTACTAATATATATTTTTATAAAGACTTATCTTTCGGAGAACAGCATCCTGACATGTCCTCTCTTCCTGGGATCACATGGCAAATCTCTACTCTTGACTACATTTCCGAGAATCCTCCTTGACTCCTACTCCCACCTATCTTACTTCCCTATTGGCTAACAGTGCTTTATTTATCAACCAACCAGACAAACATATACACAGAAGGAGAGAGTCTTTATCTTATAGTAAGGCTGTGTGATAGCTCTAGCAAAGGAGGCCTAAATGAGACAGGGTTCCACATCCGATGTAAACCACTGGATTTCTCTCTGTCCCACAAGCACAAGCAGCATTCCAAACTGTTTCTACCCACAACACTTTTGTTGTGGCTGCTTTTCTAACCAACCAGTTCTCCAGCTCTCCAGATACATGAGTGCATTCTACAGTTGAATTCTATCACAGAAGCTCAGTTTTACAAAGCTATCCCTACCTCATATAGTCTACAGACAAGCCCCCAGTTGGCACTGTTTCATCTCCCTCTACCCCAAGTCCTTGACATAGAATCTAGGGTCTGTATATAAAAGCAAGCACTTTGCTGAATGAGCTATATCCTAACCCTATCCTTGGTCCTCCTGTCTGACTAACTTCAGGGGCTCCTGGAACACCCTGTGGTAATTTGCTACAGTGATCCACAGAACTTAAAGGCCATTCTGCCTGCCATTGTCATTTTATTTTAAAGGACATGGCTCGGGAACAGTAAGAAAGAGGTATGAGCAGGGTACAGAGGTTCCCAGGTCTCTCTGGAAATTCCATTTTTCCTGTGTTCACCCAACAGAAAGCTCTTTGAAGTCCCTCTTTCAGAGATTTTTCAGGCTGATGCCATTATACAAATACCAAATAATCATTTGCCACAGGTGATTGACACCACCTCAGTCCTTTTCCCTTTCCTGCAGATAAGGAACATGGCATGAGGCAGGAGTGTGAAAGTGCCAATAGTCCACTTATGACCCCATCTTTTTGGCTAATCTGAAGTTCTCTAGAAGCCCTTTGAGGCGCCAACTATTTTGTTAGCATACAAAAGATACTCTTATCAAGTGTTTAAGGAAGTATGCACAATAGCTACGGTAG